ATAAATGTGATCATGTGATTTTTTTTGCAGGAGCTCAGAAGGAGGGTGCAGCAGGCTTTTTTAAAGGTGTTGGGAAAGGCTTGGTTGGCGCAGTGGCCAGACCTACAGGAGGCATTATTGACATGGCCAGCAGCACTTTCCAAGGGATCAAGAGGTACGTGCCTACACACCAGTGTACATGTGTTAGTAGAGCATAAAAGCAATGAGAATGTGTGGTGGAAGGAAACCAAAATGACGTGAAGTGTGAGTAAGAAGTAGATTCATGCAGCAGTTGCACCAAAACAAAACCCCTGCGTGGCTCATGAAAGAAGCTTTTCACGTCTATTACGTGTAATTACCTTTTTCTGGTCTACTACGGTGGCCCTGAAGTGCCGGCGACGGAAAGTGACATGGAGGATTCAAATCACCGACTCCTTTAACTATTTGCACAATCGGATTCTGAAAGCTGGGAAATGCCGCTTTCTAGATATTCTGTCAATCAATAAATCAGTGGGCGCAACAGAAAGTCACGGAGAGATGGCGATGTTTTACGAGTCCGATTCCTTGGCGTGAGGAATTGTATGTGTGGCCGGAGTGCGTGACACTTGAGAGCCCTGTATCATTTCCTGTTAAAAGACAGACAGTCTGTCCAATCGGAAGGGTCTATCCTCTGCTTCCTGCTATAAGGACCTACCCTTTCCGCAAGGAGTTAATGTCGTTGTTTTCTTATTTGCCGTTGTGCTTTGCACTTCAGAGCCACCTTAGTCTATTGGTGTACATATAAATGCACACTAGTATTGTGTGCATGGTGTACATGTGACTGCACACTAGTCCTGTGTGCATGCAGTTGTGCAGCATCCCTATTTTGTGTGTGACGGTACGTTTGCGTGTGTTGTCTCGTTTTCAGGGCCGCAGAGACTTCGCAAGACGTCGCCTCGCTTCGCCATCCTCGCTTCATCCACGAAGACGGTGTCATACGACCATACAGGGAGAGCGAGGGCTTCGGAAGTCAGTTACTCCAGGTAGGAAAAAAAAAACCTCCACAGTCGTAGTTAAGCAAATAACAATCGCTAAATATTCTACTGTATTTCAGAGATAAAGAAACGTTTATGTAAAATACATTTAAAAAAGTATTTTTAACCCATTATCCAATTAATCTGCTTTATTTTAAATAGTTTTTCAGCCATTGTATTGGCCTTTTTCCTTAGCGGCTCAATCTCATGGAGTAATTCACCTTTTGGGCTGTTTTATGTTGTAAGAAGGTAAATGAACTCATTGGCATCGGACACAAGTTACAGAGAACTTTCAGAACACTTTTGGTTCCAAGGAAAAGATTTACTGAGACAATTGTTTGATGTCTATTTGACTCGTGGGTCTTGTTTCTGCTGACGTTGGGCAGCAGTTGTGCTGGATGCAGCGGGTCGCCGCTTCGGCTCGCGAGGGTCAGGTCAGAGCTACAACTGTGTGACTCGTAGTGAGGATTCACAGATCGGTGACAAATTAAAGTGTCCCATCGAGGTGCCCGGATGCTCCTTTTGTAAAGAATCATCTCAAAATGTCTGATTTCTACTGGAGTGTTACACTCTTACCTGCCGCTTTGACCACGACAGTGGATAACGCCGCCCAGGGAAAACGTTTGGTTCGGTCGAGTCCCGTTGACTGCTGAGACTTTAGCACAAAAGTCATCTCCCTTTCACCCCCATCAAACCACTCTGAGCCCCACATGTCCGTCCCTTCATTTCATTCAGGATCTCCCCCTCTAATTTGTCACCCATCTGCATCGCCGGCTTCAAGCCTAGACTAGGGTTCTGTGCTGATGTGTGTTGTGTGCTCGCGCTAAAATTAAGAACCAATGACACAAGTACAACCACATCTCATGCTTGTGTTTTATGCTTGTTAATTGGTGGTAAAACCTAAAAAATGTAATTGTCTTGATAGAAATAGAAACAACTGAATAATGCTTTGATAGAGGGAAGATGAAGCTTGATAGAGGGAAGACGAGGCTAAACGCACCCTCGCATTGGCCTGAGGGGGTTAGATCCTTATTTGACATTTTGACGGTGGCTGTCTGAGTAAAAACCCGCGTTGTTGTCGTCTCTCTCTGTGACCTTAACTCTTCTCTCTTGTCGTGTCTACAGAGGAGATTGGCCTACAGTGAAGGAACTGACGCTCAGGATGAGGGTGATGAGGAAGACTAGCTAGACTCTAGAAGTGAAAGCTGTAGTGTGGCGTCAGAAGCTGTGTCAGTGATGGCGTTATAGTTTACCTTTTGAAAGATTTGACCAAACCAAAGAAACGCCATGGAGTCATTTGTGGGATTCTGAGGGATTCTTTGTCTTTTTCTTTTGTCCTTTTTCTTTTTAAGTGTCTTTTATGTTTATCATTCGTCATTGATCATCGCATTTTTCTTTCATCTTATCCTTGCCACCCACAAAGGAAACATTTCATCTTGTTGTTTAGACATTCATCACTGTCAAAGTACTCTCATAGTCACAGTCTACTTTCTTTGTTGCGTAATCCTTGTTTTGTTGTTGTCATTCACAGCCCTCTATCTATCAATAAAATGTTCACACTTCTGCCTGCAATTATTGTTATCTTTGTTTCATCCCATCATCCCTCACCCCCTCACAATGTTTCCACTCTTTTTCCAGATGTCTGTTATTGTTAATATTATTTACAGTATGCAGCTGGAACATGTTTTTTCTGTTTATATAAATACTTTGGAACGCACACAATTCGGTATCTTGCTAGTTGTTTTTTTTAGTATTGGTCTCTAAGAATTTTCACTCACTTTCTTCCTTTTCATTCAGAAAATTGAGAATGGACGTTTTGCCAAGTACAGGTACTTTGCTCACGCGAAGGTCAATGAGTCCGACTTCCTCATGATCACCAAGAGGTGAGTTTGCTAGTTTCTCTTTTTTGTGCGTTGGGGCACTGCATTTAGTTTTACTGTCATGTTCACAAACCCCCGTGACTAAGTGATCTCAGTAGATCCAAATGGTTGTGTGGATTTAATCTGTTGTGTTTTTGTAAATAGTTTATAACAATGCCGTGCTTTTTATTAAAGGCTGCAGAAATGAATCATATTTGACATATTTACCTTTTTTGTATGGTTTGTTCCAGGGGAATATTCTTTGTGACTCAAGGCACATTTGGCCAGCAGACGTGTGAGTGGCAGTATCTGTTCGAAGAGTTCACCAAGGATCCAATCATTGTAGAGAACAAGCGACTTCGCATCGAGGCCAAGGTACAATGGACAACTGAGGTTCACTTTGTCCCCATAGGAAACTTCTTTTATTAACATTTGTAGCACAGTTTAAAAGTATAATTTTGTTGTGCAGGAGAGAGTGAAGTCTGTCTTCCATGCCAAGGAGTTTGGGAAGATCATAAACTTCAAAGATGCTAAGATAGCCAAGGTGAGTGAAGCAAAGAAATGTTTCTATGTTAATATATGGATACGTGATTTAATATTCTGTTCAAACTATTCCAATTGTTGTCATGGAAACTTGTGTTTCTGTATGTGTCCACAAAAATGAGTTCCAACTTTACTTCTTGGTTTTCAGTGGGTTCTTGCCAGATTGGACGATGCAAGAGACAGTTTACCCAAATACTGAATCATCAGAGCAAGGATTTAAAATAATTTAGCGAAAGAAAATGCACACAAAGTCTGTGCGTGTCAGTGCCTTTGTTCTTTACTGCATGCCACTTTGGTTCACCTGCATACGTGAGTCATGGTGAACAATGCTCTATGGTGACTGTTGGTGGATAAAAGAGTGTGCGTGTGCGTGCGTGCGTGCGTGTGTGTGTGTGTGTGTGTGTGTGTGTGTGTGTGTGTGTGTGTGTGCATGCCTACTGAAGTGCTAGAATTGGACAGCTGCCATTAATTGACCCACAGAAGCTCTGAATACACCGAACCAAACATCGTCTCACTGCTTTCGCTCTGATCGCACACATCTTTTCGCAACACAAAGTCGATTTTTAAGGATTTCTTATAAAAGATAATAAAGGGAAACTAATTAACATTTTTGAGTGTGACTGTCTCACACATTTAAAATGTGCTGTTTTCAAACTCATTTTCTTTTACATCCACTTGATATGTTTCTCTTCCTGTTGTCATACATGTCTGCTTAATGACACTTCCATGGGTCACTGCATGTTATTTTTATACCATATTGTCAAGCTGTACATTTATCTAATGTATTATCCTATATCTGATGTATATAACCATCAAACACAATAGTCTGTATTATGTGGTTACAGATTGTCATTTTGTGTTTTTTAGGTTTTTATACTCCACATATGCAATGCCAACTATGTTGATGACTTATGCAGAGAAAAGTAAACTAAATTAATGCAAATTGTAACTGCTTCCTTTACTTTTACTTTGGTGTACATTTGTTGATTTTGGTTTGAGGTGTATCATAGTTTAATATTACCTAATATTTCTGTTGCCAGTCATTTTTTTTCCCCCCACTCTTTGAAAAAAATAATAAAATGTGTTTTAAATGTACCTCTTGTACGCTGAAAGTCTCGAGCTCACAAATTACTGCACATTAGGAAATAGACATACAAACATTGTGGCGTTTAGGGCCCTTCTTGCCCAGAAGAATATTGCTACATTGGAAATCAACAAATCTACCAAATGCGTCTGTTTTTACTGACCTGATGCAATTTAGCCAACTAGAGAAAATAAAATACTCGCTTAGGGGGTTAATCTGGGACAATGGCCAATACCCTGTGGTAACCCCCTGGTTTATAGTGGCATTTCACGTTATTGGGTCGAATGTGCTTGTAGATGGGATGATCTACTGTAGAGGTGTAATACTCTAGAAGTGAAAATAATAAAAAACGGCGTTACAAGGGGAACCTTTTTCTGCAATTCTAGGAGTGTGTGTGTGCCAGGTACGTTGTTGGTTTGTTCATGTTAACAAAAACAGAAAAAAGCCATGGAACCGTAACCCAAAGTACATGTTTACTGTATTCTGTGTGCCAATATTTCCTAATAATGAAGAAAAAAAAGATTTAAATTAACTATCATTCTTTATTGAAAATACCATAAATATAACTTTCATTTCTACAGAGAATAAACCGTTGAAAAGAACCTTCTAAAGCACAACTTGGATTATTTACATCTCGACACACTGTGAGGCTGCGCTCACTGTCCTGAGTAAATGAGGCACTTGCAGACACCTCTGGTTCAGTGTTAGAAAATACAATCTACACAATATAAAAATGCCGGTAATTAAAGTGATTCTTGCAGCTATTGCATGAGCAGAAATTGTATATTTGGATCCTTTTTATTTTTATAACTATTTTAACTGTAATAAAAGTATCCCGCACAATATTACTTCATACTAAATTTCACATTCTTACTTCTACTTCAAAGTGTCACTTTCTTACAGCACATTTCTAAAATAGGAACTACAAAACACAAAGTCTGCATTTCAGAAATTATAATTTAGAAAATCGTTTGTTATGTAGGTTGGTTACCTGTTTGTATTTCCTTTTTCCGAATTGTTACAGGCACAAAAAAGTAAAAAAATGTTTTTCATTGGACCCAATTGTTCTCTTTTTAAGAAGCTTAAGTAACAAGCACTTTGTTTTAAAGTAACTCTCTTCTCTCGGCTCACATCTGTCCTGCTCCTCTCACACCAGATTGAACTCCTTCAGGTTGTGTCTGAGGATGGTGTCTTTAACAGCCACGAAGACGAAGCGGATGTTCTCTGTGTCGGTGGCGCAGGTGAAGTGAGGGTACACCGCCTTGTCTTTGTCCGGGTTTTGTTCATTGTACATTTTCAGGATGAATTCTTGTGCCGCTGTCGCGTCCTGCTGAGGTCCTGCAATTTTGGTTTGTTGTTTAAGTAAAATTTCAAGAAATTCAAAAAAAATCTTTTCTGGTCTCTTAGAGACCAAATGGCATAAAAAATATAAGGGCATGCAAGTTCAGATAGTGTTTCTCACTTCGGCACCTAGGTGGGTTGGAGGGTTGAAACATTATAAAGAAAAAGAAAATGCAAATACCTGTGAATTCAGGGAAGTAGGTGGCTACATGAGAGTGCATGATCTTCTCCTTGAGGATGTCGGTCTTGTTGAGGAAGAGTATGACGGAGGCGCGCTGGAACCAGGGATAAGTTATGATGGTTTTGAACAGAGCCTTGCTCTCCTCCATACGGTTCTGAAATCAGAATTGCAGCAAATAAAGAGGCAACAAATGAAGATCTAGTTCTAAAGTTGTAGCACTCAAATTGTACTTATAGTGGCTCTTATCTGTAACAAGTTGTAAATTGTCTAATTTGATGAAATTGCACTTATGGTAGGAATGCACTTATTGAAAGTGGCTTTGGATAAAAGCGTCAGCTAAACTACACGTGACGTAACGTGCCGGGCGAGAGTCCGGGACGCGATCCGCTGGTGGGCTGTTCTCACCTCGTTGTCGCACTCGGCCAGCACCTGGTCGTACTCGCTGAGCGCCACCAGGAAGATGATGGAGGTGACGTCCTCAAAGCAGTGGATCCATTTCCTCCTCTCGGACCTCTGACCCCCCACGTCCACCATCCTGCAGGGACAACGACGATACTAACACAAAAGGTATGCGACATAAACCTGCAGTGGCTCCTGTTCCCAGGCAGCACACACGAGACGGGTCCTGCTGCACTGGTGCGTGACAGCTCACCTGAAGATAACGTTATCCATGTCAAAGGGGTACTCGATGATGCCCGTGGTCGGCACTCGGACTCTGAGGATGTCCTGCAGGTCGGGTATATAAGAGGGTTGAGAAATGCGATCCAGGTCGGTGAGATAGCTGAAAAAAGAGAATCAGTACAATAAGAGGAAATCTCATGGAATTTAAAATCAAAAGCAATAAGGTACCAGAGGCTGTACTTTATCGTCCAATAATGTAACAGAACTAAAAGCTTTTGTTTAGTTTTATCTGGATCAACGGCGGTCCAAAAGAAAAAGGATCATTAATTATGTTAATTTGTGTTCCAGTACGAGCAGGTGCTGGTCTGTGTTGTCAAAACACAGCTGCCAGATTGACACGGAAAGATACAAAGGGAGGGTTTTTATGCATTTAGGTGTGAATGCTCAAGCCTTCTCACCAATACATCTGGTGCAGAATTACAGAGTTTTTTCCATACTTATTTTTGTTGTGCTCTGTCAACTTTCTAAGAATCAGCGTAATCAAAATAATTATTTTGGAATAAGGTCATATAGTTGATATAACGCAACATATCGTCAGTGTCTTCAAAGTCATCTGCAGCCTTGCAGATTACAATGCAAAGCAGTTATAACACAATCACAATATTTTAATAAACCATAATCAATTCATGCAGTGCGTGTCAGAGGTGTCAAACTGAGCGGTTTGATATTTAGCGCTTTACCTCGTTATTTTCTTCACCTTCTATAACATCTGTGCACTACTTGGCACAGCTGGAGAGCATAATAGAATCTCAACAAGTTACACTTTGTGTGTCCAATGCTCACTATTTGGTGGAGTCGGACAGCTGGTATTCTCTGCGTCTTTCGTAGCACTCCAGTATCCCTGCGTCCTCCCACAGACTCCTCAGTGCCGCCGCAAGGCTTTGATCAAACTCCTCCACCTTGTCCACCTCCACATCCAGAACCGAGTTTGCATGGCTCTGTGTGGACACACACACACACAATTAGAGAATGGTTCATTAACACTTCCTTAAATCGACTAAATGCTAAGACACGCAGCTGAGTGTGACCTAATGTGAAGATTGTTTATTAAATGAACTGCACAAATAAAGTGAGTCTCAATAAAAGGAGGCTGAGTAAACTGTTCACTTAATATACAAATCAATCTGAACAAACAGAGACCACGTGGGACTAAACAGCAGCATCCGGGAGGTCAGTGTAAATATGTTAAACATAAAGTAAATAGTCACAAAATGTAGCAGAGTACCACTTCAAACAAATCATAGCAAATAAGATTAAATCCACACAATAAAAAGCACATGCAAGATGCTTCTCTGTCACCGTGTCTCCCCTTTCAGCACAGCAGAAACATAAACAGGTCTGTGCAATTGACTTATTAAAAACTACTACTACCATGTGATGGATGAGGGAAAACAGTAGTTGCCTCTAATGTCTGCGTGGACTTGATCACGGTCCCTTCCCCACGTTGGAACGCGTGATTGGACTAATTGTCCCTCGCCAAACAAGACAAATCAGTCCCCTGACCAAAGCTGGTCTCAGGGGGGGTGAATCACCACGATGAAACGCGCGGGTGAGCTTCCGCCCCCTTTTTATAGGCCCCGCCCCTTAACCTGGGTCCTAACACAGGGGGGGGGGGGGGGCGTTTACCTGCCTCGCCTCACTGAGAAAAAGACACTTGAGAGCAGCTTAAAACTGCAAAACAAAGCCAAACATTTAGCAAAATAAACCTGGACGCCAAACAGACGTGGGAGGAAAAGAAGCGCTACCTTGTTCTGGGGATTAGTGAAAGAAATCCCGAGCGCCTCCATGGCTCGGACCATGGCCTGCATGGAGGTGAAGATATTCTGGTAGACCAGTTTGGCGTAGCTCCTCTTGTCGTCATCTGTGTATCCTCCTCCGTGGATAATCCTCATTTGTTTGACGAAGGTACTCTTTCCACTCTCTCCAGTACCTGTTGAATACCACGAGGCTTAAATCCACTCATGTCTTTTCACACTCATCCGTCTGTTTCTGTGCAGCTTGACACTAAGAGTGAAGTTGGAGTTTGATACAATATTGTGGGGTTCTTTTGTATTCAAATGTGCAATAGAGCGTGTTTTGGACAAACAGAGACACTAAAAAAGGCCGGCCCACTACATTTACGACAATACATTATAAATGCACTACCTCACATGTTTGCTGTCTCTGTTTAACACGCACAAACACACACATCAGATTATCAGTCAGTCAAGTTCATCTCTCCTCCTCACAGCTCAAGCTCATAGTTTTCACATTCAGGCCACACATGGCTGAATATATTTGTTTAACAAATGTTTGTTTATTACCAGATCTGAATATTGGAAGGTCTCACTCTTGTGCGAACTTGTCCACCTGCGCGCGTGTCCCTGCGCGTCATCAACGTGAGTTGAAGCTCAGTGGGGACTGGTGACGGGCACCAGCACCCTCCTGGTTTCCTGGCTCTTTTGCATGGCATCCTGAATGCTTGAGATTTTACATCTTAGCAAACAAGGCTTAGACAAATCGCCTGCATTTGAATGTGCCTTGTTTACAAGTCAAGTTTCTTGGAGACGAGGAGGATCGGGCAAGACGGGCAGGTAAATACCGAGATGGAGGCAAATCTGGTTCAGGCAAAGTCTGCTGTGCTTCACTTGTTCAGAGAGAGAACGAGTGCACATACCCTCTCTCTCTCTCTCTCTCTCTCTCTCTCTCTCTCTCTCTCAGCTGGGATGGAAGTAGGATTTCAGTCACTAGTAGGATTCATGTGAGGTGATGAAGTTCATTCTTATTGAGACAAATCTGTCTCTAATGTTACATTTGGGTTAATTATTTCTGTGGCTTTAACATCAAACTTTTCTTTTTTTTTGTTTCTCACATTTGGAGCTGATGTGTAGTCAAATGTAAACACAAAGGATCAGCTTTTTTATTCATCTCTATGTCAGTATAATAATAGATAATTTAACAATCTGATGACAAACATTTCAATAACCAACCAACTTAAAAACTGCAGTGTTGTGCACATTAGTAAATTAAGCTCTAAGCTCATTTGTTGGCCTAACACTCATTTTTGCCTTATGAATGAGTAGTGACCATCGTGTGTTGCTTTTATATCATAAAGTTCTCTCTAAAATTAATAAAAACACATATAAATTGATTCCTGAATTGCATGAAGTACTGTTTAAGTTTTCAAAATTGAAATACTTAAAGCGGTACAGATATCCTCCTTAATGACAATTTTACTTTGTTATGGGGATGTGAACATGTGTGTGTCTGTACATGAACAGCAGTGTGTCTTTGTGCACATCTGTGTGTGTGTGTGTGTGTGTGTGCATGTCAGAGTTGTGCAGGGTGGTGACTTTCAGTTTACCTGTGGGTGATGAACGCTGACCACACACACACACACACAGAAACAATGAACCACAAACATAACGTCACACACTTCCTTGTGAGGCCGACTCTGTGAATGATTGCCAAGAAGAAAAACTACAATGACACTTTGCCCTCATAGCGGTCTTTTTAGTTTTGAAACTGAGATTTAGATTAAGCCATGAATTATATGGATTATAAATTAAAATAGTTGTACTATTTTTTTTTCTACTATTTTTTAAACAATTATTTATGATCAACTACAATCAAATTATATTTGAAAGCTTTATCTGAGACGTTGTCTTGGTTATACATTATTTCTTTGGGTTATTCACACACATATTTTTGTATTTGATTCCATGTCACTGTGTGACTTTAGAGTTATACATTTATGATGCACATGTGGTTACCTTAATCATTTTACATAGATGTGTTGAGTAATGTCAACACAATATTTCAGTTACTTGGTTTCTGTTTGACTTGTCCTCTGTGAATGAGAGTGAAAAAAAGGGAACGCAATAAAATATCATATATAATAATATATTAAAAGAATTACGCAAACTTACTGAGGGAGGTTTTGTAAGAAAATGAGGGGCACAAAAGAAACTCTTGTAGCTGTTTTTTAACAGCCATTACACAGAAAAAAAACCTCGTTTGAAGCCGTTTAAACGCATGCATTTCATCAGTGTGCTCGCTCAGCGGAGTCTACACTTTAAATATGTCTTCTCAGGCACAACAGCTGTTTAAACTACGTTAAGCTGTAGAGCTACGTACTTTTTTCAGCAAAGCAACCTTTACTCTCTCAACCCAATGAACGTAATGACCAATAGCTGTTTGTGTAATGTACTGTGTGTGTGTGTGCGTGCGTCGTCTGGATGGACAGCAGGAAGTGTTGCTGTTGATCTTTGATTCTGGTTCTCTCCCACTCGTCCTCTCCGGGGACCCGGCGGTGGTCCTAATGAAGCCCACAGAGAGGTCTGAGACGCTCCCATCACATAAATACGTTTTATTCTTACAGTCATTCCCACGTATTGAAGGTGACGGATGACTTTTGTCACCTTGTTACAAAGCACAGTTCTCAGTTCAGGCTCTTGAAAATAGTGTGTTTTCAACGTCAAAGCGTTTACACTCAACTGCGCTTCGACATCCGAGTCATCTTTTTTCTGGTGATGTCATACACAAATTTCTCCTAATCAGACAATTTGTTATAGTAATGACAATAATGATAAAGGTGTATACACCGATGGACCAAGCAAAAGCAGAATAATCCAAAGACATTATACTGTGGCAGCCAAACAGGGCGACAAAAGCAAAACAACGGTAAACTATAAAACAGCTACACAAACAGGTTTCGCAGCATTCTGAATGCATTTTGCTTGAACAGGACGCAGATGTACTTTAGAAGTCGTCATCAAACTGTTGTAATCCCGGCAGCTGTGATAGTAACTTTGTTCTCCCGCACATCGGTGAACTGAAGCAGCTCGCGTTGTACACGTGTAATCTCCCATTCAGTGAGGAGAAAAAAAACATTTTCAAGCCAAATCAAACAGGGCCGGACCCAATTCCGGCCCTGTTTGAGGGAGCAGCAAAACCTCTATTTCTGTGCGGCGCAGGACAACATTTGCATGACCTTTGCATGAGGTGCGCCCGCAGCAGCTAGTTATGGCTTTCTCTCACACCACTGGGCCGAGGCCTCGACAGCGGCTCCCGTCCCCCGGGGGGCTCACACTGCTGCAGTGAAACAGGTTTTGTCCAGAGCCATGGCCATAATGATGATAATGATGATGAGTCATGGATGGAGTGTTTGTGTTTAAGATGCGATGTGGAAACTCACCCAAAGCTGCTTGGGTGAACGTGGGACCCAGTATCATAAATACGGAGGTAAGGTTTAAGCCTATAGAGCTGTTTCTCAACCAGTAGGCAAGCAAGTCTGCACTTTAGGATCTCTAACTCTGCCAATCAGCTGTTAGGGGCAATGTGTGAACATCAAATTCATAACCCCCCACCCATCCACACACACATACACTAGTTGTTTTCCTGCAACTCCCCCTTTCTTACTGCAGGATGAGGCTGTGGTTTGTGCCAACAAAGGGTGAGAAAACGCCCAAATGACACCAGCCCATTATGGAGCGAACACAGGGACTCCACGGGGAAACAGATTAGGCAGTGCGCTACTATTAGTCTCTGTAGACATGCTGTGAGGATGCGGGACAGCGAGCGCGCGCTGCACCACATCCGCAGACCACGCGCGCATCTCAAAAGACAGAGTAGGCTGCGTGACCAGGCGTGACCAGGCGTGACCAGGCGTGACCAGGTGTGACCAGGTGTTACGCGCAGCAGCATTTGTTGATTTTTCCGTCTGTAGTTTACCCCACGCGGTCACCGTGTACACCCTCCGGTCCCCCTCCAGACCCCCCCCCCCCAGGTGTGATTCCTGATGCTCACCCAACAGCAGCAGCTTCAGCTCCCTGCGAGAGTCCTTCTTGTCCCTGCGGAGCTGCTTCTCGATCTCCTCGTTGATCCTCTGGTTCTCTCTGTCCTCCGCCGACACACAGCACCCGGCCATCGTTCACACTCAACAAGCAGCTTCTTTATTTTCTGTCACCGTTTAAAATGCGTAAAGGGTCGTTCAGGTTCCTCTCCGCTCCTCTCTCAAAGTCAGTGGGAATAGACGCAGAGCATCTTTAATGCTTCTTCTTCTTTCTCTCAAGTAGAGAAAAGTGTTTTAATTTCCCGCGGATAAAACAGATAATCCTTCTATTAAAGGAGGTAAAGTCCAGAGACCTTATTAATTCTTCCTTCCTCTTTGTCCCTAAATAAGAGCCGTTGACCCTATCAGATAAGGCACTGCGGTCGGTCTGAGGCGGGACGCCACTTGTTGAACTTTATTTCAAGGGGGCGTGACCACGCCAAGATTATGTCGGGGGGCGTGGCCCCGCGTAAGTTTATTCAAACGGGCGAGGTCCCGCGGAACTTGTGTCAGGAGGGGCGTGGCCACGCGGAACATGTGTCAGGAGGGGTGTGGTCCGGCTGAACTTGTGTCAGGAGGGGTGTGGTCCGGCTGAACTTGTGTCAGGAGGGGTGTGGTCCGGCTGAACTTGTGTCAGGAGGGGGGGGGGCGTGGCCCCGCCGGCCGCAGACAGAAAGCCACACATGATGTCTTCCGCCTGGGACGCGATGAATTACCACAACGAGGACCACTCGTGCTTTAAGTAAGCTACAACAACGAAAAAAAGCCAGGAAGAGGACGAGCTGTAGGCCCGGCCTGGATAAACCGGCCCTGATGATGGCATTACCATCTGCTTTGATCGCTTTCTTGGCAAATGTACACACATTGGGAGCTTTCTCTGTATTTTCGCGCCCACAGGAAGAGACACGGAGGTGTCGACGGCGCTTCGGTGCATGTCTGCGCTCTGCTGTGTCTCCTGGCGGCCACTAGGGGGCAGGAGGGCCAACTGAGTGGGAATGCATTGGCGTGTGAGTTGTATTCTGGCTCTTAGCTTTTTCAACAGTGTTAAACAAAGAAAAAGAGAAATTGCATTCAGTTTTATTTCATAGCGCAAGCAGTAATGAATTATGTGTAGATATATTTGTGTTGTCAAATAAATAAGCATAACGATAAAAAGATAATAAACATAATTAATACAATGTTGGGTTATAATTGTAGTTTTTTTTTTAATGAAGGTACAATAAGAGTTGTTGTGGAGCAAACTAAATAAATTACATTCATGTTGGACAAACCTCATAACTATAATGTAAGTGGTGCTCATATAAGAATGATTTTATTTTAAAAAGACTGAGGCTCAAAATAAAAATTAGCGTCTCACTTGAATCTTTTGAATACCTGTGTGAATGCAGGCCTTGATTACTTCAGTATAAGTGATACACATAAATGCTAATGATAACAGTAAATATGAATGTGTATGCACCCTGACCTTAACCAGTCCTTGTCCTCATTCATCTACACACTAAAATATATTAATGGGTTATGAGCGTGGAGTTGAGGTAGAGAGACAACCTTGAAAAAATAACCACAAGCAGCCTTCTGAGTTATTTTGTGTTATTTACTCTTTTATCCACACTTGTGTCCTCTTCTTGAGCAATGCTCGCAATACATACATGTAATATAACTCCAGTCTACTCTGAATCATCATGATTGATTTGCAACAAGAACATTTATCACAACAGAAAGACTGAACATTATAATCAGTGGGAACAGTTAAGTGCAAAGATTTCACTTGTCAATTAAAAGGATGGAGGGTCTCTGCTTTATTTATTTCAACGTCATGTGAATAGAATACCGTAACCCGAGAAATGGTCTGAGTTAGAGAAGCATCGGGCAGCTAAAGAGCCGTTTATGTAAAGCTGTTTTTCCAATACTCAACCCTGTAGTTTTACATGAAGCAGTCAGCACACTGCATAACGAACACTGTGCTCATTAACATCCTGCATGAAATCCCAACAGCAGCAGAGATTTCAAACTGTCAACACCAGCTGGAGTCTCTTAAAGGGAAAATCCAACATTTGCTTGCAAATTGTCCTTTGTGGCTGATGTTTATCCAAAATTAAATTATCCTTTGTATTTTGAATGAATGGTAGATAGTCTTTTTTTCATTTCTTTGAAGATCAGCGGGCGCTCTGTGCACACCGTTTTTTTTATAAACAAAGATTTTCCCTTTAAGCAGCAGGGACATAAGCACTTTATCATAGCAGGGACACTAGTTACTGATTACTACAACTCCACCATCAACACTGATAAATTTAAACTTAAGTCCATATTACAAACATCTCCTCTGGAACCCTTATTGTCCTCCTATGAGGCCCTGCTGTTAAGAAGTGGCTATTTTATCAAATCTACTCAATTCTCACTTAATTACGCTGGAAATTGACTTGTGGAGGCGGTTGTTGTCGTCTGCCAGTCAGTCAACCTTGTAAGACATTTTCCCGGCCAACTGATACCTCTGAAAACAAGCGGAGCTCCGCGGGAGGGAGGGAGGGCTGCTGGCTGCCAGAGTGGCTGGTAGATGCCAAACCGCAGCCAAATGGGGCAAAAAGTCCAGATTGTGGCTCGAGCTACACATCATGATGATACGTTGTTTAACCGTAGTGTCATCAGGCCGCTGAATGCATCATAGTGCACTTTGGCATGAGTTTTAAGAAATGAATCTAAGGGGACTATATTATGCAATCAATGGAAGGTATGATCAGATTTCAATTCACTCATGATGCTCTTATCATTTCTGGTAATGCTGTTACACTTCAAAGCGCTTCCCAGGGCTTCATGCAGCACTGACAAACAACGAAAGACCGCTAAAGCCACCAAACACTCCTTCAGCTGCACAATTATTGTTGGCTGCACAAGCTTCACCTCTCATAGAAACACAGGGGCGTTGATGAGACGTCAGAGGCACAGCTTATTCAATAAGGCAATATGTACAGGTTTTTTCTATGTTGTCATTACATAAATAAAGGCTAAAATAACACTGTACATTTCAATGAAATTGTGGAATTCAAGATTCAAGTTGAGTGAAAAAAACAACAACAAAAAAACAAATATAAAAGCACCGGAGTTTGATTTTAGGCCGTGTTATGGGAGACTGCATTCCCATCTATTAGCACAATCAGATAAATACTTTAGCTTAACGAGATTTGTTTGCAAACTCTGAGCCAAAGCCACACTTAACCTGCCTGACCTGCCTGGTCCGAGTCCCCAGGTGGGGACACTAAGAAATCTCAAAGTTAATAAATACTTAATGTGATTCTGTTAAATGTAAAAGAACCAATGAGTGGCGTGATGACATCTATTTGACGAGTGCTCAGTTCCTGAAGCTAGTTAACAATTTGAAGCCAGTAAAGAACTAAACTATCACAATTAGCCCTGTAGATTGAATTCAGTCTGCAGTTTTTTCCATTAAAAAAAAAAAGTCAATTGAACAAACGGGCTACTATAAGAACTAGCATGTCGATCAATGAGCTTTTGGATGATTATATTCCTCCATAGAAACAACACTGTCAAAACGCAAAATTTACATTCTCTTAAAAAGAAAAAAAGGAAACAAAAACAAACGTATCAATAACATTTCTTTTCTTCCAAAAATGAATTAGCCATTAGACACACAATACAATTACATAGTTATTTTCAATACCCCATTCAATCTGCCAAAGAAGTAATGATTAAAAAGCCAACAAAGATCCTGCCATTTATATAGAGGGATGTATGTACAACGACCATAGCATGTATAATTGCACTATGCCTCAATAGAGCATTTTGACAAAAAATACTTCAGATGACATGGAATAAGGGGATCCAGGGTGTCAATCAGAAAGAAAAAGGGGCTTACTTTGGTACAACATCAACACAGTGTCCTTTCAAATGTGTTTCCCGGAGGGGGGGGGGGGGGGTACCATTGACTTAGTTGAATACTTGCAGGAGTTGATCAATAAGTCGTTCGGTAAAGCGTTCGCCCGTTAGCGCTGCTCTTTCTCCGGTCAGCAACACAACAAGTTTCATTTAAGCGGTAAACGGTGCAAAGTGGACGATGGCGCTCGAGTGGTTTTGGCATCGGCGACAAATGTACAATAAAGAGCGTCAACGTGGCACAGTTGGAACATTATCGGCCTTCAGGCGGCGTGAAGCTGCCAGCGACACGGTGGTTCGCTCGACGCGACAGAGCAGAGGTGAATCCTTTAGTTTACAAAAGCATTTCTGAAGACACTTTCTGTTCCTCCTCAGCGTACCTGCCAACACCCCCCCCTCCAAAATGTAGAAAAGGTACTTCCACGGTCGCACAAATTCAATCTAATGCAATCTAATAATAAAAATAATGACAATGATTCAAGTCAGCAGATACCAAATTAATGTGAAAGTTTTTTTCTTTTTTTAAATCAGTTTATACCTATTTAACAATCAGTCCTTCTAAGTACAAAGGAAGCGGTCAGCTAGAGATGTTACATCATTTTCTGTTGACCCAATAGATAAACAACTTTAGTTTGAACCGACAGTAAAGAGGAAAAAAAAGGAGTACAGAAATGTTCTTCTTGTTTAAAAAAGGACAAGAGCTTGCGTGAGCAACATCGCATCAGTTCCAGCTCCGATGTAACTCGCTGATCGACGAAACAAAAGCCCAGAAAACCTCAAGTGCACAAGTTTTATATCTTTGTCAAAAAAAGCAAAACAAATCCCCCAAAACGTCACGATGCGCAAAGCCTCAAAATGAGCATTGTTGGCCGTACACATTCAACAGCACCCCCCCCCTTATTTTAACAACTCCTTAAATAGCGAGTATAACATTTACTTTGCTCAGCTCTTGAGCACCAAGAGATAAAATAAATTAGTATAATGCAACCATCCAGTCCCCCCCCTCTCTGATGGACTTTCCTTGCGTGTGCGTTCCATCCTTTCACAGATTACGTCCGTCAGCGCGCGCCGCTCTACACCAGGTTGTACTCCTTCAGGTTGAGCTGCAGGATGGTGTCTTTGACGGCGGCGAAGACGAAGCGGATGTTCTCCGTGTCAGTGGCGCAGGTGAAGTGGGAGTAGATGATCTTATCGTTGTCCGGATTCAGGTCCACAAACATCTTGAGGATGAACTCTCGGCCGGCCTGCGCGTCCCTCTGGGGGCCTGCAGGCGGGAAGAGGAACCCGGCGGCGATCACCAAAGAGTTCACAAAATACTTCTGACCGGACCATTAAAAAAAAATAAAACTAATCCTTTCAATGCTCACTGTATTATTTTTGAGTGCAGTAGTACAATAAATATTCTCTCTACTCTGGACATGCAGATATTAATAAAACAATTCTTATTTGGAAGTTGTCCAGATTAATTTCATTACACTTCAGTTTGTTGATCGGCTCATCATTAAAAGCCTACGAGACTACGATTGTTGGTATAACGGTCGAATTACAGTGGAATATTTCTCAGAAATAAACAGATGGGTGTTGATTTGATCCATTTCCAATCCCACATTAATTGTCATATCTGAATCAAAATGTTATGACACGGCTAAAATAAACTAAATCTCTTGTTGAGTTACGTTTGCCGCCTCACTATTGGTCCATTACTATTCTACAAGCTGAATTGACATGTTGTGTTACTCATCAAATAATATAACAATATAAAAGTCAAACAGCACAATCTTCCGCCAATGTTATTTATTATTATTATTACGTTTATGGTTGAAAACCGTTACCTGCTCTGCATCACAATGGAGTTACACATGTTCTGTGCATAACTGTGCTGTTTGAGTTGGACAGAGTTGACTCCATGCTGCTGTTACTCACCGTCATACTCGGGAAAATAGTCCACCAGGTGAGAGTACATTATCTTCTCCTCCAACAGGTCCTTCTTGTTGAGGAAGAGAATGACCGAGGAGTTTTGGAACCACGGGTACGTGACAATTGTCCTAAACAGGGCTTTGCTCTCCTCCATTCGGTTCTACGCAGAGAGAGAGTGTGAATGAGTGTGTGAGCAGAGGCGAAGCGAGGGGGGGTTAATAACTTAATTATTAAACCATTGTTCATACTCATTATGTTCACAGATTTAAATAAAGGCACAGCACCATAGGGAGAGCAGATACATGCGGCCATGTCGCCTTTGAGAGTTTAACTTCTCTCCTGCACTTGAGTCTTTGAACAAAACAACCTTTCTGAACGCGAGCTTCAGAGATTAAACTGCAGTGTGTTTACTTCAACAGAACATCTAATAAAAAAACTGGTCTAATGGTGTCAGAAGACAGAGGACATGCAGCTGGTCAGTCTTCTACTTAACAAAGGAAGCAAAACACAAGGCCCCCAATTCAGACGCTACACACACACGAGCACACAGCTGCTCATTAAAACAGTTTAACAGACTGACACGCGTTACATGTCCTCTTAAGAAAGAGAGGTGAAGTTGGCTTGAACAATGTGAAACTAAGCGTCACACAAACATTAAATCCAATCACTTAGTGTGATTAGTCCGCATGCTTTGAAAAAGCTGCATGTGATCATCATTCACCTCATTGTCCGATTCCACCAAAACTTGGTCGTACTCGCTGAGCGCCACCAGGAACATGATGGATGTCACGTTCTCAAAGCAGTGGATCCACTTCCTCCTCTCGGACCGCTGACCGCCGACGTCCACCATCCTGTCCCGGAGGACAGAAAACAGTCACGTGGAGCAAAAACGATTGCAGATCTGTGTGAATCTCTTTTTTTAAGGGGTTCAAATAGTTATTATCTCGTGTGGTCAGGTGTGTGTGTGTGTGTGTGTGTGTGTGTGTCGTGTAGCCTGTATGGCTCCAGTCCCCCTCGCTCACTACAAGGCCGACTCCGGTTCACGCCAAAGGATGCACGCCGAATCTTTGAGGTGGAGAAGCGTCGTCCGTCCACACACGGTTCTGTTTCTTTTCCAATCTTGAATGCATTTCTTTCCTTACCTGAATATGACACTCTGCAGGTCGAACGGGTACTCGATGATGCCCGTGGTGGGGACTCGAACCCTCAACACATCCTGCTGGGTGGGAAGGTAGCCGGTCTCAGCGATACGGTCCAACGCGTTCAGGTAACTGCAGCCACACACACAGCGGAAACCAACCAGGGTGAGTATTTGTCATCAAGGAAACCTCCAAAAATATAAACGTCAGCCTGCTTCAAGTCCCCCCCGCCCCAATTCTACTCACTATTTAGTGGAGTCTGAGAGCTGGTATTCCCTCCGCCGATCGTAGCACTCCTGGATGCCCGGGTCATTCCATAAGCTCTTGATTGCGTCTACGTAAGGGTTCTCAAACATGCTGACCTTTTCTACGTCCACCTCCCTCACGATGTTTGCGTTGCCCTGCAGTGAAGAAACGAAAGGCAATGACTGCCTTCTATGTACAAACACCATGCAAACTGTAATAACTATTACATTAACTTTATGTTATCATTACATGCAAGACATAAACCGTCAAGGACCTGCGACCTGTTGTGAAGCACTTGGACCGCGACGTGAGCCCCCACCCCCCCGCATCCTGCTTTTTACCCCCCGAGCCACAGCCGCCCTGAATGATGACAGACAATCACCATCCGAGCTATGCAGCCCTAGTTATCGCTAGTTTCTTTTCTCGCTCGTTATATTCTATTTCCAGAAATGAATTTACACCCGCAGGCTCTGCCGGGACCTGATATCTGAAGCTCAATCCCATCGGGGCTATTAAGGGGAAAGTTTTGATGCCCTAGATCCCTATTAAAACTCTCAAGAGTCCGATGGAAAAAGCTCAACATGTACCTGAACGTGAAACTGTCCCCCTTTGCATACTGCACTAATTATAAATAATGACTTAATAAATAAGTAAGAGGACATAGAAGACCAAACAGGTACGCAATAGATACTACTTTCACGGGTGTAATCTGCTTACAAGTTAAACCATGACATTTCCCAGTGTAGTTCCCAGAAAGCCAGTGTAGACATGAAAGAAAGTTTAATTTTCACTTCCTTCAAGAGGTTAGTGAAGTCCTTAGTCAGAGGTATGGTTCTTCCCGTTTCACCCGTATGCATATGTGAGCAGAGGCATTTTGAAAGACACTTAGATTGTATCATAAGCATCGTTCTTGGCCGTACATTCATGGCACAATACTAGCATCCTAAACATATAAAACCCTCTAATAAGAGTGTAAACCTGCAACAGCCATTTATTTCATCCAGACGGGTGTTGCATTTCCTTGGTTGCCGTTCAAGGTGGGTCAATCAATGGTGAGACGACTGGGCTGAGACGGCACATTCGGTTTCACTGTGCGTGTACATGCGCATGTACACGCACAGTGAAACGCACGTGGACAATGCCGAGTCCACACAGCAGCAGCTGCTCACATTCAATCCCACGTGTTGGGACATTTTCAAAGCCTCAATGACGACGCTGTCAACCGGTTCTTTCACAAAATCGCAACGCTTAAAAGACATGGCAACTAAAAATGAATGGGCGGCCTGTTGATTTATGTTTATAGACATTGCAATGCTGATAAAATGCGATGAACCAAAAAGCCTTTCTGGTTCCACTGTATTAAAAATCCCCCTGAATACTCAAATTCCGATCGCATTGCATTATGAATACTGGCTTATGATACTTGATCTGACTTCAGGATATCACACTGAAATCTACTCAATAGTGTATTAACCCCTCGTGGCGAGGCAGGATGACGCTGAAGCAGCGTGGTCGGCCCTCACTGCTAATTACCCTATTGGTATATTTAGGGCGCTTCTCTCCTGCGCATTTGTGTTGCTTGCATACTGGGGAATTTCAGTGCCCTGAAACACACAGGAACCCAGACGCAGACGGGTTGCGATGGAGGGCTCGAGTGCTTTAAGGACACAGGAAGTGTCGTAAAGGACCGGAAACGATAAAAGGACGGCTGTTCCAAATGAGATAGAAAGCGCTCTAAAAATATACAAGGTCCCTTCACTTCGCAACCCTTTGTTACTCCAGTAGAGACATTTGAGGCGGATTGGGGTGAAAGGGTCGTTTACCTTGTTGTGCTCGTATTTGTACGGGACGTTGAGCGTCTCGGAGGCCCGGACCATGGCCTGCATGGCCGTGAAGATGTTCTGATAGACCAGTTTGGTGAAACCCCGTTTGTCCTCGTCGGAGTAGCCGGTGCCGTGGATAATCCTCATCTGTTTGATGAACGTGCTCTTCCCGCTTTCCCCCGTGCCTGAAAGGAGACACGTTAGTCGAGTTTAACATTTTGTCTTTTCTGTTTTACATTCCCGGACCGTTATGAGCAAAACAGAAACCACAAAAACAGAGTTCTGCAAAGGGAGGACATGACGTGGGCATAAGCATCTAAAAGACTACGTAGGGCCGAGGGGATCTGCACAGGTGTGTTATGATTCTATAAGCCAACTGTGAAAGTTAAGTAAATTTGACATTTGCACACAGACGTACAGCACATGTACATAAACACACACACACACACGTTACGCGCTGGCTGCTTCCCTCACAGCCGGTTTGCTCGACCAAGAACAACATCTCTCTCCTCGGAGTGGTGACAGGGACTATTTGGGGAGCTGCTGGAGGAATTTCTCTTTGACTCATTGAGAATCTTGACGGACCAACTGAATGATTTAACTTTGCCTCACCACCGACTCTGGAATAACCGAAGGTCAGGACCCAAAGGTTCTGTAAAAAGAAAAGTTTAGAAGTGTCGCACTACTTCTTATCGTTTGATATATACCTATTTTAGTCAAATTGGCTTACAATATTCACCTTGTCGCTCCAAGGCTCCAACCACACACTCTGTGCACCGGTACTATTACATCAACCGCAATGACGAGGAGCAGTGGTTGCAGGCCACAGCTCCATTTTTTAAACGTATAAAGTGGAACATTGTTGAGCGTCAATGGGTTCTGGGTTTGAGCGGCACAAAGGATGCGGGTTGCTCCTCCGTGCCACAGTCCTGACCTCGTTGTTCAAACCGATGACCTCACACAGGAAGAGCAACGGGAGAGGCTCACCAACTAAAATACGTTTAGGTTAAGGTTAACTTCTCTTATATTGGACACGTCTGAACGGAGGAATTGGCACGGAAAGTCAGTATTGTGTTACAAAATGTTAATGTATTTTAACTTGACGTCTAGTTTTAAGGGTTCCTTCTTTGGATCCATCAATCAAAAGAAAAGAAATTGTCACAGAATAAACATCAAAATTATCCGACAAGACAGTATTTCAAACAGCTTGCGGTTAGAAGGAATTAGAAGGTTATAATGAGAAAAAAGTGTATATTAAAAAGCTTTTAAAATGTTAAACAGACACAGTTTCTCCAAAATATCAACGATCGCTCGACCACATCTGGGTCCTTATGGATGTTTTCTACCAAAGAGACAAAGAAAAGTAGTAGTGTGAGTTTGTGCTGCTGATTCTCCTCTCGACCCGACCGTATGACCCCGTCGGCTCAACGTTACATCGGACCCGCCAAAATAGTCAAACTCAGTAGGGTGAAAGGGAGGACAGACGGAGGAGGCCGGCAGCTGTGTGTCCGTGTTCGATGCATTCAATCACTCGGGTGACGCGCTGGACATTTCAAACTCGACTGTGAGAAGCCAAAAATATTCACAACCCGATGCTCGATCTTCATAATAAAGATCGCGTGAGTGAAGAAGAGATATTCACCCGTGAGAGCCTCAAGGAGAGCGCACAGAGCAGAGGGAGGCCACGGCGCTTCAGCAGATGTTTCACCCTTTAACTACAGTTTGAAATGTCAAACACAAATTTGACTTAAAAAACAACAACACAATCCTGTTCATATCAAGACATTACCACGCAAGACACGGATTACACTGCAGAAAATGCAGATTTTAGCAATTGAATGTCATTATGTATTATTACTACATTATTGTGACCTGCTTTAGTCGAAGTGAATCACATTGTTTTAAACGTTTCATACAAGAATGATATGACGTCTTTAGTGCTTCCCCTCACGATTACAACCATGTGTTTGTTAAAAACTTGTTAAAAGTTGCGATGGACTTGTAGCCGAAGCCTTGAGAAGGTTTCATTTGTCCGAAAAAACAGCCGACAAATCAGATTAAGTGTGTTTTAACACTGAAACTATTTCAAAAGTTATCAGAGGAGAAAACATTTTCTTGTCGACTAAATGGTTAAAGCTTTAAACCGTTATAGCAGGTGACTAAATAAAAGGTAACAAAAACAATAATTCTTAAGTTGAGGCAACGCAGCTATTTTGTTAAGTATAATAAAAAACGTAATGCTTAAAATGACTGTGAAATAAAAATACAACCAAACAAAATGGCAGAATTTGGTTGTGTTCAGGCAACAAAACTACTTTGTTCACGTCAACTTCTGAGCGCGTCTAAATGTTTTAAGGGCGACAGGAATCAGAAACTAGGTCCCGTGGTCTCCTGAGGGTTGGCGCGGGGCCGGGCCACTTTTCTAATTGAGCAGTTTTTCAATCAATTTAGCAGATGGAGACGAGCCTGATAATTATTCATGTCAACCCTTTGGGCTGTAAACCGGTTTCAGAACTCAATGCTAAATAAATAGAAATGTGATGCACGTTATAAGCTCTGCATTAAGAATGTAAGTACTATGCAGAAAACATACAGCTTAATCATTTTTAAACTTTACTGCTGACTAAAGCGATGCATAAGCTACCTAGACCCCGTGTTGTGGATATATATATAAAATATGATCCATTTATTCTAGTCTACAGTCGCTGCGTTCCTAGACTAAGCTGCTGCTTCACTTTTGTTTCTCCAGACCTGATGTCATCCCTAAAGAGGAGAAGTTCACTCACATCAAAACAAAGAAACACGGAACAACCTCAAATGGAATTCCCCTCATAACGTCCCGCCAAATAAATAAACATCAAAAACATGCAGACGGCACCTACTCGATTTTTGCTGGCTCGTCTAACGGGAGCGTCTCAGATTATCTCTCCGTCGCCCACGGCGATAAGTCAAAACCTTTTTACAGATTGAGACGTTATTATGCTCCACTTTACTCTGACAGAATGGAGCTTTGTGTGTTGAGACCAACTGGGGCCCGAGCTGCTATAGAGGTTCACTTTGACCTTTGCATTTAACAGAGGAACACGGTCTGTGTTGTTTCACAGCAGACATTATGACTTCTCATAGCAAGTAAAGCACAAATATTAGGAACAGTAGTTACGTTTTTTTTGGAGATTATCAATGTTATTAGTTGGCACATGCGGGGAAAAGCAGTTGTAAATACGTTCTAATGAGTTATGACATGGATATAATTCTTTAATTAATGGGTTGTTCATGCTGGAAGACATCAATTTTAGCTGCCGGTTGTTGCCGAGACGCCCTCGTCATTCGGAGATGGGTTTTAGCTGGACGAATCCCGAGTCAGCCATCGCATTGAGTCTCTGACCAACGTGATCTCCAAAATATGTTCGTAAAAAGGTAAACGAAAATCTTGAACATACAAATTCGTAGCGATACATACGAAGTGGCGGTGGTTAACCCCGCCCCTTGAGTGAACAACATGGCGGACCGTGTCGGATTCTTGACTGAACGTCTCTCCGCCATGTTGGATTTTTGGAGGGGGTTAGGGTTAGTGTTCTATTCTTACAAGTTAACATTGATTTCTCGTTAAAAATGCAATGATAACACGTTTATTTTACATCGTTAGACAAAGTGTGTTTACGGGGTGCAGGTCCCCGTTCACTTTGAATAGGGGGACGTCATCAGTTGCCAGTATTTATTTCATATGTATCACTACGAATTTGTATGTTCTTCGTATACATTTTTACGAACAGGTTTTGGAGATCAGGCTGCTCTGACGCATTAGCAAACATGTGTGTGTGTTTGTCAGTGGTCATTTGTGTGTGTGTGTGTGTGTGTGTGTGCGTGCAGGCCAGACAGCACCTAAGCAGCGTGGGTATTATGTGCACAAGGAGGATGGATGAAGCATTTGGCAGAATTGAGAAAGTTCTAAACATGGGGAAGAGTTTTGCCCCCAGGTCCCACGGGACGGGACGTTGAGCAATTAGTAAATTTGAAACACGCACTTCACAGATGGCTAATGGAGCCGTATCGATCATGCACAACTTCCTCTGGTTAACCAGTAGAGGGAACGGCAACGGAGGATTCAGAGCACTGCATAAACGTATATTTAATGAGCTCTGGTCTCACCGAGGAAGCAAAGAAAAAAGAAAAGGCTGATTGAGCCATAATTGTTTTGTGAGGTCGGCCACGAGCAAGTCGGTGTGAGGTCACACAAAAGGTTCCTCGTTACTGGAAACCTTCCTCTGCTTGATGGAATCGTATACTGCCTGAAACTTAATGTTTTTGTACATTAAGTGTAAGCATCCGGTCATTAGGGGCTGGTTAGTAAACCACTGAAATGTAACACTGCATTGGATTGACTGAGAAAAGGAGGAACACACTGTGGATATGAACTATAATCATTCGTTCATTGGGTTTAGTTGATCAAATCTACCCATTAAATAAATATCGTACTCCCAGGAATGGATGCAGTTACGTCCTCAGATTTACACACAATCTCTCTTTCTGGTTTGGGTCAGTGGCTGTTTGTGCGTTTGCATAATAGGCGAATTGTTGGGTATTAAAAGAGATTAGAGGAAAACAAAAACAACACAATTATTTGTGCGGTTAACATGGGGGCGGGAGGAGGAGGGGGGAGGGGGGGTGGGGGGCAGCCCCTTCAAATCCTGTTACGGTTGATTCATTTCTCCATTTTACATACAACAGGATACAACGGCTGTGCTTCGGGCCTCTGCGAAGAGGCCGAGACCTCGCGCGCCTCCCTGAGAAGGTCACGTTAGGTCCGAGGAGGCTGCCGCTCCCTCGCCTCTCCTCCTGTGCACTTTCTAAGGGCCTGAGCGAGGCGCTGGGTCGGGGGGGAGAGACCGGGGTCCTGGCACCGCGAATGGGCAACTCTAATCAGTGATGGTGAGTACATGACTTGTTTCCCCACAATCTTTCCAGTATGACACATACTTCTCAACAGGATCAACACCCACCACACGTCGCAGCGTGTGACGAAGAAATAGGATCATTTAAAAGTTCTAAAAAAACACGTATGGCACGGGCGGCTACACCACGGGAGAACACACGCCTGTGGAATAATCACAGCCTGCAGCGCTGCCTCGATGACTCCCAATAAAATGTTAGACTTTGCCCCCCCCCGGGGCGATGTTTGACACACTCGTAAACTCCCCACCTGGATGGGGGCCCATCGGGGGCCCGGCCGGCTGCACGGGCCGCTGCCGGGGCCCGTGTGGATCCGCGGGGGAGGGCGGAGGCCCCCACGGGAGAGCGGTTATTCAAAACAGGTGGTTTGTCTGGAGCAGCGGACAATCTGCGCGCCCCACTCGCACCACGCAGGTATGCCGGCGTGGGGAATTTAAACTGTGCGTCTCTCGTGCCCGTCTCCCCTCCCTCCCCTCCCTCCCCTCCGCCGATCTTACCGAGGAGCAACAGCTTCAGTTCCCGGCGCGCGTCCCTCTTGTCCCGGCGGAGCTGCCTCTCGATCTCGTCGTTGATCCTCCGGGCTTCTTTCCCCTCCTCGCTGAGGCAACACGACATGACGGATTCCAGGGTCATTCTCGCTGCTTCTTTCTCAGCACGCGCTTCTTGATGTCTCTCTCCCTCCCCCCTCCTCTCCTATTCCTCCCCCCCTCACTGATTCATTCAGATATCACAGATCCGTCGGACTGAGGGGAAAAAAAAGGAAAAGCAGCGGTCTGTCAAATAATGTCCTCGTGCAGGAAACAATAAACGCAGATGGCGGTGGGAAGGACAATCGATTAGATATGATGGGAAATTATTATTTTTGTTGTCCGCTTTCTTTCCCCGACAGCTTGAAAATAAGCAAAACGCTGGAAAACAACGTCCCGAGCAGCGTGGATATCCGCGGGGTCTTTAATCGGTGCAATGTGCTTCTCTTTCCTCCTCGGTGCGATCAACAGACCCTTCTAAGACACCTCCAGCTCGCCGCCCGCGTCCTCCCCACTCCCCCCGCAGCCCGCCCGCCTTCTTCTCGTTCAATCACCCCCCCCCCCCAAAAAAGAGAGGAAAAATCCCACCTCGGTTCGCGTGGTCGGCACAGCTGTCCCGCGTGTTTTCGCCCCCGTGTCTCCCGGGCGTGGTGCGGCAGAATATGGCGGACTTTCCCTCCGATCCGCTAGGCTGGGACGCGGCGCGGTTTACCTCCGGCTGCGTGACGACTGCCCGCTCGGGGAAAGCCAAGAAAGCCACGCGTAACGCGGCATTTCAGCCCGCTGACGTGAATGCGAAGAACCCCCGACCAAAAAATAATAATAATAATAATGATAAAGGCGAGTCCGAAAGGCGAGACAGAGGGAGCCGCCGGTGCTGTGGCCTCTCTCGCCCCTCGGCCAGTCTTCTCCTTCTCCGCGGTTCCCTTCGCCGTGTCTTTGCTACGGAGGCCGTCCACTCCTCCGCTGGAAGGCTGACGTAGGCGGGGAGGGGCGGGGGAGTAAAACGAACGCCACACGCCGGTGCGTCTCGCACCCCGACCTGTGGAATAGAAAAAAAGCGCGTGAGCGGAGGAGCTGGTGCGTGGAACGTCGGAGAAAAGATAAAGAAATTACACTTAAACACTTAACGGGTTTTTGGGGCTGACTGTGGGGATTCGTCACAGTTACGTTACGAATGTGACGGGGTATGATGTCAGCAATAAGACTCATTGTTTTGTGATTGTTTTGTTGGGTAAAAAGAACACGTGTGGGCCCTGCGCAGCAAATGTGGACATTTTTGTGTTTTATTTAGTAAAAGGTGGCTTTATTATAGGTCGGGTTACATCATATTGTGCAGTCGTCTCTTCCAACTGTACCCGCCATGAGGTAATTGTTAGATCATCTGTGCCATATACGCCTTTAACAAACTGGAGAGTTACACAGCATTGATCTCTCACATTATTCTAACACACTTACACATTGCTGAAATGATAAGTGGATGGACGGATGTCAGAGGCCATATTGTGTATCCACAGTTGTTCCATTATGACCATCCCCACTATGACCATTAGTGTTATCGGTGAATCAGTGCCCATTTTACTTCTGCCTTTTCCCACAACCAAACATTAGTCCATCACACTCAGTGTTGAAGGGACAGTCGATGTAAGTCAACACTTTATTGTGTTGGGCGGTCTTGGGCCTACGGTGGACCGTTCAGGGCCTCTGTAATGAGAGCAGTAATATGCCCGGATCACAAGCAACTCGCTGAATTTCTCATTTCGGATCCCATTCAGATTATCCAGAGCCACGCGTGTATGTGTGCTGTGCTGCTTTATTGGCCAGTTTTTGTTTAACAGCCTAAAAGCTTTCTGCATCACATTATTTTGTGTTTCAAGCAAGATAAGTGTAAAAATAAGTTTATAAGTCAACATATATTATCATGTAGACTGAGCAAAACTAGTATTTCACCATTATAGCCGGATTTCCAAAAGTGTTGGAGACAATTGTTTCAAATAATGCTCTCTATTGTAGTCTCTATTGTTATGTTTATATTATTAGCACAGGTGTTTATCAGAGCCAGAGAGACACAGGCTTGGTGTTACTCATGGCTTGGCTCAATAACACGGTACATTTAACAAGATCCTCTTTTGTTGTGCCAAAGAAGATTGGCATGGGATTTTTCTAAATAGATCTTTTTATGGATCTTTTTCATGTAAAGATTAAAACACTCTTTTATAATTGTTAATATAGATTTATTTACGCTAGACTTCTTTTCGCAGTGATTTTGTTGCCCGGTCTTGCGTTATATTTTTGGGATATAGTCACCCACCATGTACAAGTCTTTGTGTAATTACGGCACTCGCTAAAAGACATTTCTAGGCACTAAATGGATTGTGCACCATCAAGTCTGAGATGGGGATTAAAGTGGATTTTAAATGTTTATATTCACTGTCGTATCCGTCATCAGAACTGCGTAAAGAATCGTTAAGCAGACAAACTTTAGAATTTGTTTTTACCCGGGCAGCAACATGTGTAGGGAGGCTTTTGTGTTTACTGCACTGTACACCAAGAACATACAGGACTGGAACAGTCACACATGCTCTTATGTGGAAGCTGCTAAACTTCAAAACCAATTTGACTCTTACAATTTCATCATTGTTACAATCACAATTTTTGTGTTATTAAATGCCTTTAAAACCATTTCAACAGTTTAGCTGAAGTCATACTCACATAAACCATTTGCTGCAAAAGCAAAAAGTTAGAATGAAATTAATCTTGAACACTGCTGATTGTAACCTAATTAAGTGGCCCGATTAGACCTTTTCAATGTGGCAGCACTGACTCAGTGCCTGATTGCTCGTAATGCGTTTGTTTAAATCCAGTTCATGAAGACAAAGCCCATATCATCTTTTCTCACTTTATCTAACAAAAACCAGAGCAGCACAAGAAAACAGGACATGAGAAGAACAAGTGTCAAGCAGTTGAATTCCTTTTAGCTCTCAAGGGACCTGTCTGATTTGTTCCAGATTTCAAGCTTGGGGAGCTATTCAACCTGTGTTTGTAATGAAGGTCTTCCAACCAGGTCTGTAAAGAGACACCCAGCCACAGGTCAGTAACACTTCAACCTGTCATGTGTCCCTGATGAATGTCAAGATTTCCCATTAACAAATGCATTATGTTGTTGGCTGATTAGTCACAATAAACTCACCCAGTTTATTTCGTATCAACTAAAAACCCATTTGAAAATGTTATAATAGTATGTTGGTTTAGCTTAACATGTACTCAGTCAAATATGTAACACAAACAGTGTTAGGAAAGACACAATTGCACTGAGACTGATTGTTGGTGATTGGGTTTGTTACTTCTTCTTCAGACATTGTTTCCATAGATTTATTATTTGCTCACTGAGGAAAATATATTTTAATTATATACTGTCAGAATAACAGCATTTACAATGGATTTCCAACAGTGTCAATAGCTTTCAGATTAGGCTTGATCCATTCAACAGATAGTCAGTGAATAGTGTCTCAAGCAGTGTCCACATGGAAGCAGAGTTAAAACAAATCCATGAACACTTTACAGAATTTTATTGTCAGACCAGTGAGTTTTTGGCTCGTAGCCCTCATCAATATAATTAACGAGAGAGATTCCACGAGCCCTAAAACGAGTATAAAGTACCTTAAATTACTGTGTGGCAGCTGGTTGGTCACTCTTTTTTTGGTACAATATGCACAATATCAACTGTGATACAAGAACCTTGAAATGTTTCATACTTTATTTCCCGGCTGAGGCCCTGTTCTGGAAAGGAGCCAATATTGTGCTCACAAATGGGATGTCACTTATTTGTGAATGTATTTGTCCAATGCTATAGATAATGCACCATAATGAGATGATGAAAACTCAGCTGCTAATTTTTGCCTGTTGAACACCAGCATGTCCATAATCCCGCCATGGTTGGTTGTGGTGATGTTGATCAGAGGGGAAGATAATAATAAATTACATATTGTGTACATGAAGTTACAATTCACCCCGGATACGTGACCAGATAAGGTGTGCACGTGTAATAATGCAAATGCAAGTGAATTCTAGATGGTGGGTAGCACACGTCCAGAAATGCCACACAAATTCGTGAATGGTAAACTGACTTTTATTTTGTAAGAGGACGCTTTCAATGACTTCCTCCCCCGTGTCACGTGACCTCGCCCTCGCCTGGATACCAGAAAGCGTCGCTCCGTGGTCGCTACGGAGAGACGGATGGGTCTGTTGTAGTTTAAAGGCACTTCGGCGGTGTTTCCCCACGCAGTTACGACAACGTACGGGCATGGCAGTCTGCGGGAAGCGCTGTTCGGTCGTTGCAACAGCGACTTTACCAAGTTCTAACGTGTGTACAACCACGTTTTGGTGCTGCTAGTACGTTATCTTGACATGACCGATACAGATTAGTTAGCATGCTAGTGAGCTAGCCTCAGCCTCAGGCTCGCACAGCGACCACCCCTGCCGCGCACAGGTAAGATCATCTTCATTCACTAATCGCTGAGTCACGGAGGGTTTTTTCCCACGACAAACTAACATTTTGCTTAAAATCTTTGCCGTTGTTACATAATGATTGACAGCACCGCGCACAGCAGGTGTTAACGAGCGATTAATGCCTTGCGACAGTAATGATGCCGCTCTAATAGGATTTGAGATTGTGTGTGTGTGTGTGTGTGTGTGTGTGTGTGTGTGTGTGCGTGTGCGTGTGTGTGCGCGTGCGTGTGTGTGCGTGTGCGCGCGCTTCCGCGTGTGTGTGTGAGAGAGCAGTGTTTGCTTAGGGACCTGTGCTTTAATCTCACTTTGTTGATTTGTTTGTCAAACCCTTATGCCAGATATTTCGCTGTAAAAGTGTACCCATGTTGGGATGTGTGCAGCATTCAAAGACCTTTTTAGTTTTTCAAATCAAAGAATTGTGGTTTCAATCTGACACTGTAAGGACTTCATCCACCGGCCTCCATGTATACAGGTTCAATTTTACACTTTGAAATATTCAGTGTGGTGTTTCTTTCTGAGTGTGTCAGTTTGCTCTCATGAGATTTCCCAGCGTTTTAACCGGACTTAAAATAAGGGCCTTGATCTGTTGCCCTTCATCATCACCACGTCCCACTAACGCAAGGATACACATTTGTGAATGCAACAATGATATTTTTCCAGTTTGTTCGCATTTGTCTGTGTGTGTATGTGTGTGTCAGTGTGGCTGCAGGATCCGAGCAGACATGGGCAAACTACAAAGCAAGTTTCGCAAGAGGTCTGACCTCTACAGGTGAGACGTGCCCGCTGCTAAAACAGGGTCTGCGTCCTTGTATGTACTAATTAGAACCAGGATTTAAGAAGGTAGTGCATTCACACTTGGATGAAACCAAGTGCCATCAACCTGTATGTGGATACTGCAGCTGAAAATGGTTATGGAAAAAATGCTGAATATGTTACCTTTGTGATCTCTTTGTCTGTTATAATGGTGTTTTCTGTGCAGGGCATCTCAGGGGGAGAAGGTAGATAATACCTTTGACAGTCAGGTGGTGCAGTATGAACCTGCCCATCATGGCTCCATCAGCACTGTCACAAATCTTAGCCCAGATTTGTGTGTTTCTGGTGGGAGTGACCAGGTAAATTATTCTATGTAATAGATTACAAAATAATATAATTTTAATGATTATCAATTTGCTGATGATGGTTAGCTCCCTAAATGGGCGAATGAGCGGCAAAAAGGTGCAAAAACCATGAGGATCAATGTGCCCATTTCATATTTACAGGAAAGCCCATCTGCTGATTCAAGTGTGCACATGTGTTTGTCTGTGCACGTGTGTGTGTGTCCAAACCTGTAGGCTGTTGTGGTGTACGACTGGAAACAAGGCCGGATGTGTCAGTCCTTCCAGGGACACAACCGTGAGGTTACCAAGGTAACATCCGTAAGGTGTGATGCTGCTTAGAGCTGTCACACGTTTTGTAATGTCTATCATCTTAATTCTGCCTCCATCTATGTGCCAGGTGATGTGCTATCCAGGCAGCACGTGGATCTTTAGTGCCTCACGGGACAAGACTGTTCTGATGTGGGACCTAAACCAGGGAGACGAACCTATTCAGGAATTCTGTGGGCATGAATTGGTGGTCAATGGACTAGCCATCAGCCCTGGTACACATGAGCATGCACACACACACACACACACACACACACACACACACACACACACACACACACACACAGTCAGTCACATGTAAATATTTTATCCATTTGTCCTTTTCATTGCTTAGGATACAGTTCAGATGCATTTTCAGATAAGAGACAAGGTGGATAGTGTTGCAGAGTGGAATACCTTTTAAACCAATTTTGTGTACTTGTCAGTTAAGTTGAGTAAAATATCCAGCTGCCATACATTCTGAAAGCAAGAGGTAATACATCCTTTCCCTTGACTGGACTATGACTTTATAATCTTGCGTTTGTGTATATTTCATACTGAAATATCAAACTAGTTATGTTGTTTTGACGGCCTTTGTCCGTCAATGGGGGTTTGTACTTCATGCACATTGTGGTTTATTCATGTTCCGCACTGATCATATGGAACTGTTTTCATTGTGATTTGTAGAGGGGAGAAAGCTGTGCACCGGTTCTCGTGACAACTGGATGTGCCTGTGGGATATAGAATCTGCTAAATGTGAACAGAGAACCAACATTTCTAGAAACCTGGTGAGAAAAACAACCTTGTACCAAGAATTGTTTCAAGCACACTGGTTTGCCTTCGGTGTGTGTACCTGGGCTCTGCAGACTGGAAACTTTTCCAATGTCCTTTCTTCCCCGTCCAGGTGACTCATGTGTGCTGGGTGCCGAGCAGCTCCTCTCTAGTCCAGACCTCTGAAGATAAGACCATAAGGTACAGAAAGATGTGCGACTGCAACTATATCACTATAGATGCACATCAGCAGCATAGCAAAAAAAGAGGATTTGTTTGGTTTTGCACTTGACGTTAATTATGCTGAAATTTTTCGTAGAACTCTGATAGCACAAAAGGTGTTTTGGATTATAATACCAGCGTTTATCTGCTCTAGTTCTAAGTAGAAGAATTGAGTTCTTCTTATTTGGGGACAATACAGGGTCAAGACTACAATAACTAATTCATAAAAGCAACAACACAGAGGCTTTTCTGTACTCTTAAGCTCACAGCTTCTTGAACCCTCTGACAACCTCTCATGCAGCATCCTGCTTAGGAGTAAATCATGTTGAACGTGTGTTCAAAAAACCTCCACATTTGAACTAAGACTCTAAGTATTGTATATTTTAAAACTTCTTCTGTAAATGCGCTCGCCATCAACGGCCCATGTTCAGTTTAAGCGGCGTTTAACCCGGTCCAGAGCCTACTGAATTACTTACCGTGGCACCCGACAACAGCCTGAGCTCCCCGGTAGTGAATGGATGCTTAACGGTTTATCCCCAGTAAACCGTGCTTTCCACTCCGCTGGTGTATTTCTACACTCATGTCTCTGCTTCTTGCTCAGGGTGTGGGACAGCCGTACGTGGCAGGTGACCAATACTTTTCCAGCCAAGCAGTACATCCAGACCCACTGTGATGTTTCTCCAAACGGAAACTACTTGGTGTCCAGCAGCAACGGCTTCGGGGGCCAAGGCTGTGAGGCCACGGTGAGGCCGCTGCAGGGGTCTGTGCGGTTGTCGGCTGTGTTGATGTGGAGGTGGCGGGTTGGTTACCTGCGGTCTTACAACATAACAATGTGTTCATTATCATTTACATCGTGTGTTTATAAAGCAGGTAGACCCGTGGCTACAAAGTTGACACTCGTTGTTTATCATTTGTTCTCAAACGAGATAATAATCATATCTTGCCTTTGTGTTTATGACAGTTCACCCCTGTGAGTTTGACTCCCCCAGCTGGCAGCTTGAGCCTCCAGCGAAAACAATTTCCTGTCTAATCGGTGTCTTTTAAACAAGTCAAATATGAAGTTAGTCCTATTTGAGTAATCACCACTGGTTCTGTTATCCAGTCCAGTCTACGTAACAGTAAAGCATGTACAATATACAATGCTTATACAAGCATATACGATGCTTTATAGCAGCGTTCTTAACCAAAGTTCTTACAACCGTGGGTGGATTTGATCTTTCCCGGTTGGTTTTGAGGATAAACCTTTGTTTATGCATTGGTGAGTATATTGTTATGGTAATGTTGATATAGTTATATTACAAAGACCATACGATGTAACCATTGTTAAAATCTATTAATACATTTAGTTAAATGTCAAGAAATTCTCCAGCTCAAGTTGACACTTTGCTATGGCTCCATCCACCGTGTCATGCTGATAGTTTGACCTCCTCTGACGCTGCTTTTGGTCCTCAGTGGAGTTGTGTCTGTGTTGTCAGCTGTGGGACCTGCGTCAGCCCGGCTGCAAGGTCGTCGAGTACAGAGGTCACCTCCAGACCGCCGCCTGCTGCATGTTTCTGCCGACGCCTCCTGATGGAGCAGCTCAGGTTGCGACGTCCTCCCATGACGGCTCCGTCAAAATCTGGGATCAGAACTCAGCAGGTGACACTGCCTGTGTATGTATATACAGAATACACACACAGGCAGGTTCTCTTTTTACACTAACTTTGGTCCAACCCTCCCTCCGTCATCCCCTGCTCAGTGTGCTTAGGGACGCTGTGTCTGGACGGTGCTGGTCCCCTGGTTAGCCTGGCTCCCACTGACTCCACCAACCTGCTGTGCGCCAGCTTCAACAACGGCCTCCATCATATCCAGCTGGGCCACCAGGCTCCGGTTTTTGGGGCGGAGTCAGGCATGGAAATAAAAGTCGTGTCACGCTTCTGACGGCTCGAAGTTCGCCGCGTGTGACTCGCAGCGCTCACGTGTGAGGGGCCGGCTACTCCCATCCCTCTATGAGGATGTCTTGTCAGTTCTTTTAAACATTTCTACTGACATTTTTGCTTTTACTAGACTTCCACGCATCAAAGTGACGGAAGAGATCAGCGAGGTAAGGAGACGTGTATTGAGGGTGCAAAGCCTCCTGGAAGCCCATCAGAGCTGCTGTACATCATGTTGCCCCTTAAACAGAATGTTGAGGCTTTAATCGCTGCTTTCACGGATCAGAGCCGAGTGACTGTGGACTGCTCGGGCCGGGTGGATTACTGGTGCCGGTTGATCCTGAGTGTTGTTGACGCACTTTCCCAGCAGGAAGATCGGCTGGATAACAACACAGAGTAATGGAGTATATGTGTACGTTGACAATAATCTAACAGTTGATTAGTTTGTTCTGTAGCTTTAACCTTCGTGTTAGACCAAATGAGGACCTACGACACAAGACTGTACAAACACCAGCTTGGTTTTTAGGTAGAATTTATTTTATAATGTTTTTTTAAAGATACAGAGGTTTTGTTTTTTTAACTGAAGCTGCCGAGCTCATGTTGTTGTCGTACTATGCAAAAAAAACCGAGTAATTCCCTCAGTATTGTTCGAATGAACAAATGAGATTAGAATATATTGCAAATACAAAAAAAGCTGCTCTTTGAGCCATAAACCTAAAACACGCCACCATGAAATGGATTTAGGCTTTAGTGTTGGTACTGTGCTTTTCCCAAAATGGCGAGCTACTTGGTTATTAACTATAAAAGTCTCAATTGTTTACTGATTACTTTGTTTCAGCATTTTGAAATTGACAGTTTTCTATTTGTTTGCGGAGATCCGATTAGAATCTGTCACAAAGACACTTGTTAACACATCCAGCTGTGATGAGAGGATTTGTCTTATGGTGCTCAGGAATCCACATTCTATTAAGCATCATTGTTCTAAACTAGAGAACACCGCAAGCAGCAGGGAACCAAAGGTCATTACAGATTTCATTTCCTGAGAATTGACTGCTTGGATATTGATCACTACCTAAATATACATTATAATTAAGCAATAAATCATTTTATAATATCGAATTCTTGGTTGTGTATCTGAGATTTTTGGCCAGACTTGCCTTTTGCATGCTTGTCACCAATTATGAATTCTTGCTTTATTTCATTCGGTCGAGATAACGTATCTAGAACTGGCCGCTGGAACTCCTCAGGGTCTTTCACAATCTAATTCACTACTAGTTACAATATGACACGCCGCTTATAGGAGACAACCAGCTAATAGCAAGTTGTACATTTATGGAAGTGCTTTTTCTAACGTGTACACAAACCTCACTTAAAATGAATGCATTTAAGACGTGGACTGTGGGAAATGAGTATATATTCCAGAACTGGCTTTTAGTGAACACCAGCTTTATCGGCGCCATCTGGTGTCAGAAGCATCATGGCTGCAGAGGTAGTACCAAATTCTACCAACTGCTCATCGAGGAAGAGGAAATATTTAGATCTAGTGGACATTTCATCTCAAAACAACTATTACGTATTACTTTAAACTGATTCCTGTGACCTTCGTGCACTGGAGGACAGACTATTATTCTTAATTGTGCAATAATCACAATATAATAATTCACACTATGCCAGACTATCACATCACAATGAAACTATCGAGTCAAAGAGTAGAAGACATTTTGTCATACTGTGGTGTTTAATTTATTTCGATCGGGACCTCATTTTCACTGACAAAAAAGAATTTATCCATCAACAGCTTTTGATAAAGACACATTCACACACAAACAGCAAACAACAGTTTGGCGCTCGCCTCATCACTGAACCACAGAAATATTAAGACCCAAATAAGGTCAAAATACAGAATAATGAACTGAAAAAAACACTCGTAAAAATGGCCTTAAATTAAACATATTATTTGCACAGCATGTTATAAAAAGCAGGAGACATGGAATAATAGTAATAAGTAGGATACAGTACAGTACATTTATGGAATTATTAGCCGTTTCAGCATGGAATAGATTAAATCTGAATGTAGCATTCAATCAGTGCTGAGAAATGTCAATTAAAAGATCCACTCGCAACTTCTAAAACCCGAGTGGTAACGGACAGTGGCACATACATGCCGAACTTTAGGTGCACAGCTTGTGTTTTCAAGCGGGTTTTTGTCTCGGAAATTTACATTTTTGTGCTGCAAGAAAGTAGTAATAAAAAAAACGAGGGTGAGTGGAAATCATGAATCTTTTAAAATTCTGTCACATCAAACCCTGATTCATAGACAACTGGGTAGAAAACCTCCGTTCCATAACATAACCGGGCACTGCTATTCACTAAACACTGCCATTAATACCACATCCACCGAGCTGCTCCTCCAACACTGCTTTACACGATTCGCATTCTGAGATTCCCAACAGATCACAGGACAATTCATGTTCACACATGTGAAACCCCCCATGTGTGAGGAGTTGGTCTGTACAGTAATCAGCGAGCACGTTGTCATAACACAGAAAAAGACTGATAACAATTCACTCATTTTAATAATTAACTTTGCACTAACTCATCACGTAACACATTTCGGGAGGGTTCTCTACCAAGTCAGAAAACAACATGTATAATGTAACGTCATGCAAGAAGGCTCCGGTTACTATGGCTACGTGGGGGCGGGGAGGCACTGCAGGGATGAACTGGGTGTTGGGGGAAGATATTTTCCATGAATTGATACACATGAAAACAAGCTGTAGTCAAATATTGAACTAGTTTTGGACCAGTTTAAATTTATTCTGAAAATAAGGATGAAATGCAAGACGATGCCTCCAATACCAGAATCCAGCGCCTGTACTGAATGATCACTAAGCCAATGGGTCTCCGTCCGGTATTTTGTTGATGCAACATTTTCCTTCTCCAAGGAAGAAATGAACCCTTTACCCCGACTACATGGAGAAAGTGAGGAGGGAGCGTGAGTTGGTTCTTTGGCCCAAGTAATGTCATGAACGATAAGTGCCACATCGCCACCTTGTGAAGATCAACTTTCTAATGTGAAAGTAAATTTACATCCCCCTTGCAAATTTGCACAGCATGAGGGTCATTTGTATAAAAACATTTGTCTACAGTGTGCAGATTCAAAAGATTTCAATTTCAAAAAGCTGCGCCAAGAGGAATATGAATATAAATAAAGAGGTGTTTTAAACATAGAGGAGCAAGGCCGGGAAAAAAAGTCTTTCATGCAGCACACGATTAGAAAGGGATCGTTCTGTCCAAAATAATAAAGAAGAAAAAGATATGAAAACCCTAGAACACAAAAAAAAAAAAAGGATTTTGATACATCGATGCACAGCGAGCCTGTGTTGAGAGCAAAGATTCAATTTAATAACTTGCATGAATCATAAATCTCTCATTAAGTTATTGGTAAGTATCACTTGTACAGTAGCCGCTTGTGTTTTTGCTACAGATTCAAAAGGCACTGAACCAAATTCAACCTGTAATCAAATTGAGATAATGATCCTGTTCACACTGGATCAAAGATGCATTAAGATGCAAACTAAACATGATACAAGAGCACGAAATGCACAGATTTATCAAGTATTTTATGTTGCCGAGACAGATTCCAAACCGGATTTGAAAAAACTGTTCAGTGACTCAAACAGGCCGAGAGATGACTTGAATCCACCTGATAACTCTTTTCCAAATCTCCATGCGTGTTGGTTGAGTCCCTGAGATATCGCTGCCTCTCTGCATTTCTATTCACTCTTCAATACGGTGCTTTTCATTTCACAAAACACACACATACACAATAATGCCCACACATTTGAGTAAGTCACCCAGACGCATTTGCTCGTGCCCACACACAAACCCACAGAATGAAAAAGAGGTCCTGATGTCAAACTATTGCCACTATGGGACGGGGACTTACTGAAACAGGGGACCTGTGAGATTAACATCTTGGATTGAAATTGGAATAAATAAATCTATAACCATGATGATGATTTAAGGATGAAATCTTCTAACCTGAAATAGGGAGTTTCTCCAAAAAAGGAGTTGAGGTGAAGAACGTGGGCCAGCATTTAGAAAACCATGAACATCTCAAATGTAGCAAAACCGTTTCAATCAAAGCCTTGAGACGGACCTAACAAAAGGTTTTAAAAAAAGGTTTGCTTGAATTGTGTAAGCTCCAAGTCAACCGTTCACACCGGCGTCCTGTAACTAAAAAATAATAATAACTCAAGCAGTTAAAATACTGTTTTACAAAACTAGTTTTGTCCCCCATCTGACCATAGAGTTGTAAATACCCAGTAGTTGTGTTTGCTGCAGATGTGCACAGGAAACATCCACTCCACGTAGTTGCCATACACCCCCCCCCCCGCCCCACCTACTGGTCCCCGGCGCGCTCCAGGCCGTCTATGACGCGGCTCAGCCGGATGTTCAGCAGCCTGATCTGAGTGTCCAGGTGGTCGATCTTCTCCTCCAGCGAACCGGCCCCTCCTCCCCGACGCCAGTACGCTCCGACGGGCCCCGTCATGAAGTACACCGCCATGATGAAGCACAGCGGCAGCACCGCGCGCTCGGGGTCCCCCTCGAACTTCTGCAGGATGTAGAGGCAGGACAGGGCGAAGAGCGTGACGCGCGCCAGCCAGAAGAAGCGGCCGAACACGGCGTGCAGCAGGTAGAAGAAGCCGCCCAGGAACATGGAGAGGAACCAGTAGGCCACGAGCACGGCGGCGACCAGCAGCAGGGCGCGCGCCGGAGAGTTGGTGAGAGATGTGGGGCTGAAGTAGTGGCTGAGGTTGGAGGCTACAGAGGGGAGGAAGAAGAAGAGGGTAGAATTACAATAAGTCCCTCTCCGTTTGGTCAGAAAATGCCATGATACATAAAAAGATATATATATATATATATATATATATATTTACTTACATTCGATGCCCATCACGTCCAGCAAATCTGACCAGATCTTCCAGATTGTGTCGAGGAACGAGTCCACTCCATGGACAAACCGCTCCGTGGTTTTGGAGAAAAACTACAGAGAGACGGGTGAGAATAGTAAGAACTGTAGCAGTAGCTTAAGGCAGTGGAGTTGCACAATAAATTGATGTGTTGTTGTGTTTCTTTTCATTCAATCCCACCAAATGGAATGGATGGACTAAAACGTGGGTTTTGTGCTCACGAGCTTGTCATTAAAAGACTCATGAACAATGTACATGTACAGCATTGGGTCTGTATGTTATAGTTTATTAATAAAAACACACACACACACACACACACACACACACACACACACACTTAGGATAAAAGCTGCAGTTTGACAGTTAACCGCGTCACGTCGCCCGTCACAACTTGTGCCCATTCGGGGCCTCGTTCAGGAAATGAAGGGAAACATCGGGTTCAGAATGCAGGAAGTGCACGTGAGGCAGAGCGCGCGGACGGAGCACTGCGGGTCATTAGCAGCGTTCTGTGAGGAGAAGCGGAAGCGGACACGCGGAGACGAGTGGCCCGCGCGACGGCGCTTCCGGCCCCCGCAGAGGCTCGTGCTTGGTGCACTTGCCGATGGACTCGGAACAATGAACTTAAAACGTTACTGCGTGAAAACGCACGTTATTGCACTGCACGCGGCGACGTCACATCAACTAACAATATTTTCTAGATAAATAAAAAAAAAACATGATAATGGCTAATTTTCAAAATGGCATCCGTTAAAAACCGTTGGGCCAAGGCCCCGCGCGCTGCTTCCCCCCCGCTTGCTCGCCCACAGATCTCAGACCCGCGAGCCGCTGATGACGCTGATGACACCCGAGCGTTGGTCGCCTGGTGAAGCACACGTCCCCTCGCTCACCTTGTACAGCCCTCTGATGTTGTCCTCTCCGAAGACCCCGCTGAGGGTCTGGTAGACGCCGTTAGCTGCCCGTCGGAAGCTGTTCTGGTTGCTGGTCTTGCTCCTGCCCGCTTCGGCTGTGTTCAGCACGGAGGCGGAAAGCACCAAGAAAACCACGAAGACCCCGATCCCCTTCATGGCGAACAAAAAGTCCCGAGATGTTGAGCGGAAATTTGTATCGGAATGGATCGATGAGAGGCAAGGAGGAGAGGGGCCGGCAGCGGGCTGTCTTGAGAGACACCTTGGAGAAGATGAGAGGCGCTTCACCGTAATAATGGTAATGAGCCGTGATGCCTTCAATGACTCATCGCCCGTATACGACGTTGGCGTTTCGTGTGAAAGGAGAAGTCGGTTTATTGGCCGCTGCTTTATTGTACATGGAACATGATAGTTTGAGTGACTCAAGGCATCAGTGAAAATACTAACATTGTATCAGTGTCCTAGCTGGTATTTGAAGTGGTTTACTTGCTAAATAAATTGCTGCTGTCTCCCTTAACCATTCAAAATGGACTATTGTTAAGAAGACACGACTCATACTTAACAGCATTATTTAGACTACACAAGTAATAAAACTAAGACTTTTATCTATGACATGTGTTTTCGCCGTTCTGCCCTTTAAAACACCCTCAACGTATTCCATTAGTGTTACATTTCCGTTTTTCTTTAAAAGCACCGTCGTGTGGATCCGAGGCAGCGTAGTGTCATTGGAAGCCCGCTGCTGCCCTCAAGTGGTAAAGGAGTGCGACTGCTCTCCCTGACATCTCAATCCAGCATTTTGCTCCCTTAATGAAAGCCCTACACTCTAAGGATGCTTCCTTCACTCTAAGCTTGTAGAAATATGCTTTTATTTAATCGTTTGATTCTAGGTCGAGAACCTGTTTCTGCATCATTCTGTCTCGCTTTAACTGTGTCTGCAGCAAATAAACCACCAACCAAAACCCACGTATACTACACATACATTTCGAACTATAATATGGTCAACATCTTATATATTTTCTGATGTATAGATGTTACTGAAATTGAGAACACTATTGAGAAGTTTCCCACTACTGTTATAGATATTTTTTCAATACTAATAAGCTATATTTGATATATATTTTTTTAAATATCTGTAAAATCGAATACCATTAAGCAGACAAAGCGTCATGCTCATGTGACAGGGAGTTTAAAATAAAGATGCTCCAGAGAGGTACTTAATAATAATAATAATAATAATAATAATAATACATTTTATTTATATAGGGCTCTTCAAAGCACTCAATGACGCTTTACGTGGTTAAAATAAGCATAAAACAAAGACATCATATAAAAACACAGCATTAATTACACATTAAAAGCCGATCTAAAAAGGTGCATTTTGACTAGTGACTTAAAAGGTTGTGAAGGGCTTTGTGAGTGAGGAGAAGGATTTTAAAGCGGATGCATTGTGGGACAGTGGAGGTTCTGGAGGACAGGGGTGATGTGTGGGTGATACTTGTATGTTTTACCCCTGAGTTCTCACCATGTGATTAATGTGAAATAGTCCTTTGCTAATTGCTGAATATTTTCATGAAGTTGAAATACATTTTAGGTGGATTTTCAAGATATGTGAGTAAAAAACGACAATGGTAATGAAGGTAGTCAATCATTCATTGTAATTACAGTAATGTGTATGTGATACCAGTTGTAGATGATCAAGGGCCACTGTTTGCTCTTTCCTTTTTTTCCTCCATCAGTATTCTGTCACATAACGATACTCGGTATCCAAGCAACGCACACACAAGTCAGTACTTAAAGAAGGCAGTGAAGGACGATTTCAGCGGTGAGAAGTACGTTTCGATCCGAGGGTCGAATAAGTTTAGTGAAGCTACCGCTTTGTTTCAAACAACTTAAAATGTATGGACAAATGCCAAGAGTGACCCTGAGAGCAGCTCTTTGATGGCCTTTTCCTACAAAGACGTCTAAAACTATTTAATTTATGGAGGTAGAAGGTAGGAGAGCCTTTAATACTGAATTAGAGCGAGGGGGACAATTTGTTTAGTAAATAATTAAGAGCAAATGTTTCTTGACTGCACGCTCCTTCTCTGTGCGTCTGCTTGTCTCTTTGTCGAACACACGTCTCTGCAGCTGAACATCCGAGGTGGTCTCAATCCTCAGAACTGCTACCAGCGTTTTAAACAAGTAACGTAGAAGATTCCCGGGGCCCCGCGGACCTAACATGTGCCGCCTGCTCCAGAAAACACACCCAGGGCCGTGAGGCTGAGTATCTGAGCGGGCGAATAGTCGGCGAAGGGGCTTAGTTATTTGGGAAGAATAAAGTTAGCAGTCAGTCCAGAAGACAGGCTACATGTGGGTGGTTGGTTGGCACGTCTCTACTCTTGGCTTGTGTTATGAGCCTCATATTGAACGCCGCGCTGGTGAGAGGTCACCTGTTCCTCCGTGTCCCCGGCTGACGGCCGCAGTGAACCCATTTCATTCTCACACACGCAAACGAATAAACACACTCTAAAGTGGTAAACTGCTCAGCTTACTTTGTTCTTCATTAGTGCCAAGTAGAAAAAGGGTTAGAATAACAGTGCTTCCTCCAAACATTGTGACTGCCAATACTTGCTGACAGCACCCCGTTCCTTATCTTTGGCAGCTCCGCCATCTGCAGGCCGAGCAACACCAATCAACGGGAATTGGATGCTACCAATTTTAAAATCCCTTGAGGGAAATTGAGTTTCTCTCGAAATTGGACGAAAAAGTACTGTTTCTATTGTTCTTATAAAAAAACACCACCTGGTGCATTTGCTGTAACATCTAAAAAACTTTCTGTGAGGCCTTCTTTGGACATGAGACGAGGAAACGATAGATCTTTTGTCCCTGAATGGTTCACAATCATCTCATTGTAGATATTGAGGACCAAAATATAAAGACACCAGACCAAGAGAGTCTTGAAAGTCACTGTAGCTCTGAAGGAAGCTGTGCCTTTCACCCTCTTCTTCATCAGCCCCTGGAACTCTTCCACCCTCTTGCGTTTGGGGTCCAGTCCACTTTTCCCAAGCACTCCTGACATTATTGCTATTTATCAAATGAGCGCCTTGGAGCTGTGTAATTCCACATTTGGCACAAGGAAAAGCAAATCAAGTGTCTCAGTCGCTTGGAGAGTACCAGACAAATATAGCAAGCAAACAATTGGGTCATTTATTCTGTCTACATGGTGGATAAATGATATTCAATTTGAGATAATGTGTTCTAGCAGGCTTCCTTTCCGCCAGTGAAACGGCTTAGTTTGTCTTTGCTGTTAACTGTGACGATATGGGGACACACACACACACACACACACACACACACACACACACACACACACACACACACACACACACACTGGGCAGGCATTGTTTCCCACTTCTGTCTTCCACCTTTTCTCTCTGTCTTTCTTATCCTCTGTCTGCACTCGCTCCCTCTCTTTTCGTGCCTCCTTCAGACTCGCTCCTTATTGGCCCCCCCGGGCAGTGCTCGGCTACTTTGTGGGGCCGGTGCAGCCTTTCCATCACAAACCCTGACTCCTCTCTCCACTCGCCCCGTCTATTTCCTTCTTCCTCTCCCTGCACAGTGGCTGCAGGCTGTAGGTCCCCAGCATCCATTGCTTCCCCCGGGCCTGGCCTCTGGCTACGAGGAGGACCCCCCCCCACCCCCCACCCCACCTCCTCAACACACCCGCACACAAATCCAAATCCAAATGCACATCCATCAGAGAATGTGAAGTATTCATTTGCACGCATGTGCGCTTTCATTAGTCCATATACGAGTGTGTGTCTGGGAGTACTTACTTTGGCTGCGAGGCGAGGTCCATTAGCGCTAGGCAGATGTAATGCACTGCTGAAACCCCCCCCCCACCCCCACATTCGGGTGTCTCCAAACCCATTTCTTTAGCTAATGAATGCAGCTCGACTGTAAAAAAAAAAAAAAAAAAAAAAGCCACGCTACTCACAAAGAGCCATTGGTAATGATTCTTCAAACTATATTACAATATGCACTTAAAATAATGCACACCCCTGCTGGTCTGGCTCCCAATTAAGTTATTTCTCATCTGTTAATGACCATGGGAAGTCAACAGCGTCCTTGAGTGTTGGCCGAGCTTGTGTCACACGCTGTGATTTAGGGCCATCAGCAGCGCCTCCATCCTCGCCTCTCAACTGGTGTTGCTCTCCCTTTTGAAAGTTTTGACCTCCATCTCTGTCAGTGTTCCTCCCTCAGTCTCTCCATCTGACACGCTCTTTTGTGGAGGAAAAAAAAACAAAAGGCAGACACCCCCCCCCCCCCTCCTCCCAGCGGTCCGACTGAGTTCAAAAGTGTGAGGAGACACAATGGAGAGGTCCTCCAAGGACGGGACTTCAAAGTAGACGGAGCAACCTTTGAATGATAAGACATTTGTCATAAACGAAAAGAGAGCAACACAAATCAGTTTGGAAAGAGGCATTAACAACAATAATACACATTGCAGCCCTTTTTAACTGGCCGATCAATCAAGAGTTACACTTCGGTCGCCTTTATAACAGACTGACTGGAGAGCTTCACACTCCATTTATTCTCAAGTCTCCACTGCATGGATGAACATTTTGAAAAGTCCGCACAAATAGTACTTCCCTGGTCTGTCGGTGAATACCCTGCCTGTGAATAAAAAGTAGTGGTCAGTTTCTACACCGAGTCAAGCTGTATGATGGAGACATGTCCTCAGATAGGACCTGAATCCGATTTAAATGCCATGTTGTGCATGTTTGTAGGGAGCACATCCACAACTGAAGCCTGCGGGATCCGGCCCACACACGAGCATACCAACAAATGTATTCTCATTTAAACAATAAATAGCATTGAGTTTTATTAAATTTGAAAGAATGTGTTTGTGCCCAGTTGCTGTGTTTTTGCTTTTAAAAGCTCCCCTCGACGGAAATAGGCAGTTTGATCCTGTGAAGTCAATGCCAGCTGCGATAACATCACAGAGCTTCTATGAGTCTGCGTAAGATCCGAGGAGTTATGTTTTTATTTTTTAACTTTTAAGCATTTCAACATCCTTGTGTCCTATCTCTCTTCCTTCAAACTGGATTGGAAGATCACAGGGGACACAGCGTCAGATCTCGTCCTCCAGTCACTGTTGAAGTTGCGATAAGGAGACAGGCACCACATGGAGTTGAAAACTTTTTGAAAGTACCTGCCAATCCTCACACAACCCGCCTCACAGAATAGACACAGACAGCCGGGTCAATGCGTGCTTAGGAAAGAAAAAAGGGAGACATTTCTGATGCTTTGATTTTTTTTTATTCAGTAAGGGAAGCTTTTTTCTACATGTCTGTTTCATTTTAGTACACGT